ATTTGATTAGAGCAACCTGATGAGGGCAGAAGTTCTGAATCTCTTGCATCTCCTGATGCTGATTTATCATCACTTCCTGTCGCCCGTACTCCCGCTTCAATGCCCGTTCCGGCTGGTCCCAGAAGGGCCGCTCCTCCTCGCCGAAAGCCCGCCAAATCTCCAGTCCATCCCCGCCGAAGACAAGCAGAAGAATAGGGAAAGTCTTGCTAGCTTGGATATCACATCACATCCTATCAGCGATGCAGAGGGCGCACCCAAGGAGGAGCCATTGAATGTCGTTACTGAGCCAGTGTTAGAATTGTCCCACCGAAGACGCAATGGTACACGCCGCGAATGAAGGACTCATCTCTCCCCATGTTGCTGAAGCTGACGTCGCGGATATCAGAGTATCTCCCGAGTCACCCTCGTTCCAAGGTCGCATCGATCTACCTGAAGCGCCTACGAAGACATCTGAGTCAGGCCAGGAGCTGGATACTGATGAGATTTCCGATGTGCCTGTGGAGGCACATCTCTCTCCTGCCTCAGAGCCGTCGGTCCCATCTGTCGAGGAAGAAGAGGAGGACGAAGAGGCCAGACGCAATCGCGTCGCCGAGAGGATTGCCAGGATGGGTGGAATCAGCCCCTTCGCTCCTCCCCCACTCCAAAGGAAATCGAGCACCAGTTCGAATGTTTCCGATGTTGTGGCGCCGCAGTCGCCCACAGTCCAGAAGCGTGCCAGCGTTGGATCTGTTTCACACTCTCCGAAGAGAAAACTGAGCGTTAGAAAACCATCTATCGACGAGCTCTCGGTTGAAGAACAGTCTAGTTCTATATCATCTCCACCGCGCCGTCGCAGTTCTCAGTTCAGCGAGAAGTCTCCGGTCATCACTTTGCCTCCCACTAGAACTCGCAGTATTGATTCAGTAACCTCAGGAGAACAGATACATGCTAAGAGACGATCTCAGGATGGTAAATATTAATGTTTTCCCTTTTCGTTTATCAATCGTAAAATGTGTAACAAATATTGATTTGATTCTTTTTGCTGTATCGTAGACGCTATTTTCGTCCGGGATGAACCTGAACCCAGATTCCCCGTCAGGATCACAGAAGAGCCGGAGTCGTTTGAAGAAGAGATTACTGCGAGGGATGCGGCTGCTGTCGAAGCAGAGAATCCGGCCAAGACGACATTGGATACAGAGTCAGTTGATGAGGATCAGGGACTATCGGCCCATGAAGAGAAAGCTTCCCTCGTTATTGAGGAACAGGATGAGATTGATGACGATGATGCCAGTCTGCCGCAACTGGCCAATCTCGGGCCTCCACCGCCGTTGCCCCCGAATAGCACACGGCCGACTATCCCGGCGTCCGAACCTGCTGCTGCTCCGCCACCTCCACCACCTCTGCGAAGGCTTTCCATACAACGCGTCGATGACGACGACATTGTTGTTGTCTCACCGAAACGCACATCGATTCCTCCGCCACTCGCTTCCACAGCAGAGGTCGAAGATGCTGCTATTTTTGCCCCGCCACCGCTGCGTTCGGTCCCTCCTCCGCCATCTGAAGAGCATGATTCACCAATATCGCCAACATCACCTTTACAAATTCCTCCCCCACGATCATTCTCTATTTTGCAGTCGCAGACCGCGGAAGAGGACGATGAAGCCACGCCTCTTCCTCATCCAGGCCCTTTTCATCGTCCCGTTCCTCCACCGCAGCGATCGTTGTCTCAATCAAGCGACCAATCTGACATAGAGACGCCTCCAGTGTCTGCGCACCCACATCCTCACCGTTCTATACCTCCTGTTCCTGTCGAAGAGATAGAGTCTGACCAAGAGGCAATACCATTACCCCCCGCCGCCTCCAAGGCGCCCATCTCCTGCTGCAGAGGAGCAACCCTTAATTATTCCTCCTCCTGTGAGAAGGGAGTCGATGAAAATTCCTCCTGGTCTTGAAGTGAACCGGCGACCCCATACCCCACCTATGTCGACTCCTACTGTTTCTGTCAGCGACCATTCTTCAGAACAAGAGATTCTGGACGAAGAAGAGGGTGGTAGGTTCCTCAATGCCGACCTGTCGAACACTGATAAAGTTGTGAATAGATCCAATTGATCCGATATTCCATAGCCCGAGTAGGCGTGCGTCGTACAACAATATCCAAGACCAGGCCACTTCACATATGCGAGAGCCTGCATCGCCGTCCGCTTCTGTAAGTTCTCATATACGAGAACCCGCAGCCGCGGTTCCAGTACCGGCTGCGGCGGCATCGCTAGCACCCGTTGCCACAGAAACTGCATTTGTCGAGGAGCCTATTGAAGCGGAACCGGAGCAAGAAAGGCGACGGACAATTGCCGAACGGATGGCGAAACTGGGCGGGATCAAGTTCGGTGCTGCGCCTATTCCGACCTCACGGCCTCCGCCCCCGCCTCAGAGATCCCCTGAAATTCAAGATGATGGTGCTGAAGGAACTCCACTGGAACAACAAGAGCCGGAGTCTGCGGAAGAACCGGATGAAGAGGAAGAGGAACGGGCACGCAAAGAACGTATTGCCGCCAAATTAGCAAGTATGGGTGGAATGCGGATTGGAATGATGCCTTTGGGTGTTGGTGTTTTGCCACCATCGTCGTCTGGTCCATCTCAAAAGCCCCCACATCCATCTGTTCGAGCCCCTCCCATGCCCCGTGCACCACCGCCGACCGAAACGCAAGAGACTGATTCTGAGCAAGAGAGTCAGGCAACATCAGACGATGTGGTCAAAGTGGAAGCAGAGGAAGAGAGTGATGCAGAAGAAGTTCGATACGAGGAAGTCGATGAGGTATCTGAGGATATACCTCCCCCTCCTATCCCTACTCGCGAAGGCAGACGAGCGTCGGTGCAGCGTCAAGTGTCGACGGACGTTCCATCAGTTGCCACACAATCGCCCTCTCGCCCTCCCCTTCTTCCTGGTCGACCACCTGTGCCCACAACAACTCTTCCACGACGCACTAGTGTCCAAACTGTGACATCTATTAAATCATCCCGTAGTGATGCTAGCGCAAATCCTCCTCAGACACATAAACCCCAGTATGACTTTGTAATGGTCGAGGAACCTGAGGCGCAAGATATTCCTCCAAAGCTTGTTACTCGACCTCCTCCCCGAGGACCGCCGCCGCCACCGCCACCATTCTCCGACAACAATCCTCCCCGAATGGAGCTGTCCGATAGCGTATCGTCGCAGTGGGAGCTCCCATCGATTCCGAGTTCCTCGCTTGAATTTGGTACTGGTGGAAACATTTCAGTACCTTGGACCGATGATGCAGCAGAAACAGAGACAGCTGTCCCTGCTTCTGCTCCCGAGATCATCAAACCTGCAAAGAGTCAAGAGGACGCAGTACTGACTTCTGAGGAATTGATTGCGATATGGGGGCGTATTGGCGTTCAAGTGTGTGAAGTGGCTACGTCGTTAAATGATAAGTCAAAGAAAGCACTGATTGGCGACGGGACATATCATGGTTTTATCGAGGCCGTTTTGAACGAGGTGCCAGGAGCAGCGTCGCCTTCTCTTCCATCGTATGGATATGTCATTTATATGCAGTCGGGTTCTTCGGTGCAGAAGAGGGCTGGAGAGATCATGCCTGGAGATGTCGTGTGGCTTTCAGATGCCAAGTTGAAAGGTCATAAGGGTATTCAGACGTACAGTCAACATGTGGGCACGAAAGAGCCGCTTGTTGGTATCATCAGCGAGTTTGAAGCGAAGAAGTTCAAGCTCAGAGTGTTCCAGGCAAACCAGCATGTCGGGCAGCAGGTAATTTACTTTGAACTCCTAGCCTATTATCCCTTTGCTGATGATTGCTCTAGACGGTGGAATCAGTAAGCTACCGCTTGGAGGACTTGAAGAGCGGTGTTGTAAAGGTATGTGTCTTATATGCAAGTCGATACTATATCCCTGCTGACTCCATCACTAGGTATTCCGGATTTTGGAAGCATAACTAGTGAAAATACAACTGTGGTTACACACCATATGGATATTATTCGTCATTTTTTCAAAAGTTCGAGTCAAATTCCATTCAATTACGTAGTACATGCGCAACCGGAGAGAGCTGAACATGGATACTGTGGACATCATTGGTATAGGACTAGGAGGACATCATATACTAATTTGGGCGGTAACAATAGTCAGTTTGGATTCTATAATCATAACATATTCAGCATCTAGCGAGTGAGAGTGTGCCCACCAGCGCCATCGCCTTTGAGATCACGTCCAGAATAGTCCTCGACAAGCTTCTGGTATTCAGCTAAGCGACCAAGAGTCAGTAGTGTTAGTCATCGGGTAATGATCAAGCGCACTCTTTACTGAGGTACTGTCAGACTTCTGTTTCTTGGTAGGCGGGTCTGCAGGTGTCGGGTCGGCGGCTGGGAGCGGTCGTTTCCCTCGATTCCTCTGGTATAAGATGAATGTCTGTTCGATTGCCGATGAAGGTCAACTCACGAAACGGTTATCAAAGTTTCTCTTTCTGGAGACCAGATTCACGATAAGTGGAGAACGATACAAAGTATATTACACGCTGACCTTTCAAGTTCCTCTTCACGTTTACGCTTTGCGTCAGTTTCCTGTAAAGAGATTCCCTTGTCTTCAGAGTTGAACGCAAAACGAGGATAGGGGAGGAGATTGATACATATCGTACCTTCATGCTACGTTGGATGCGGTCTAGGAAAGAGCCATCGTTAGAAAAGACATTGACAGGTTTCACTCCTGGCTTATGTTTAGGCGGAGATATGGGATAGGCGTAACCTGCGTAGCCGTTGATCTTGGGATAAAATGCTTGAGACATCGTGGTGGTGGAAGAAGGGAGGTGTTGTGGCTGTGTCCCGCCGGGTGTACAGAATTTTTGAGAAATGATCTTCCAAATACTTGAACCTCAGGACTTCGAAAGCGATATAGCATGCAGGGTGTTGTAAAAAAGCTGATAAGGGCAGTGGGCATTTAGCTAACATCGAACAAGAACTAAAAATAATCTACACTCTGAACAACAAGTATGAAAAAATGGTTCAACCCGGGATCGAACCGGAGACCTTGTGTGTACACAAATGTGAGACACAAATCATAACCACTAGACCATTGAACCCATGCTCAAGTGTTATTACGTGCATATATGATCTAAGACTTTTTCAACTTATTACAAGGTACAGATGAGGTTTCTGAAGAGACGAAAGCACTCAACAGAAATGCGCATAATTCCAATTTCTTAATTGGAGTACCTAGGGGCTACATCTCACCTACCCGGGGAATTTGTATCGGGTAGTCATGAATTGTTTCACTACGGGAACTCGGTGCTGTGCTTGGCCTACCATAATATGCTCTGTTAGATCTATGAATACATAGCCATCGTTGCCAATACATCTACGGCATTACCACTTGGCCAACCATACCTTGACGATATAACGCGGAACTTCCGTGGGAACAACGCGAGATTCGAAGCACCGTGGGAACAACACGCCTTTTCCAAACTTCCCTTCCGTTGCCCGCCACGGAGTCGATTCCAGGCCCCTAGAAATAATTCTTGCGGCACCTCTAAAATGTCTCGCCGCAGGCTGGTGGGCCAGCCATTACTGTATGTTGTATCTATCTTCGCCAGTCTAGGCGTATTTCTTGTGGGTTCCCATGTTTCTGCAAGGTGGAATGTGCCAGCTTATCACGTCTTCCCCAGTTCGGGTATGATCAAGGGTAAGAAGCCGCGGAATCTTGCACAGTTGAGAAGCAGCAGTTCATGACTTTCGCAGTGTCATGTCGGGTATCATAATGGGTCCCCATTTCATTCAGTTTTTTGGTAGGCCGGGACCAATACAGGTAGGGAGTATGGTTGCTGTGTTGGAGGTGGGTGCATTTGGTATGTGGTCTCCGTATGTTATTGTTAAGTCTCTTCTGACTGTGGATACTTGTAGTCACTTCCCTAGCTGCTGGCCAAGTAGGCGACATCATTGGCCGAAAAGGAACACTATTCATCGGGGCTGTGGTGTTCACCCTGGGCGGGGTGGTACAGACATTTACAACCGGATTCGCTGTAATGGTGGTAGGACGGATTGTCAGTGGATTTGGCGTCGGTCTTCTATCGTGCGTTGTCATCTTAAGGCTGGTCGTGTGCCTGTCACTGAAGTATTTGCAGCACTATCGTGCCTATTTATCAGAGTGAAATATCACCACCAAATCATGTACGACATCTATTCCGTCCATATCAAGTGTCAGCTAAATTCTTGCAGAGAGGGGCCTTGGCATGCGTAGAGTTCACTGGCAACATTTTTGGCTACGCGTTTTCTGTCTGGACCGACTATTTTTGTTCGTTCATAGACTCAGACATGGCATGGCGGATCCCTTTGCTTGTTCAGTGCATCATAGGCGCGATCCTTGCCGCTGGATCACTGGTCCTTCCGGAAAGCCCTCGCTGGCTCATAGACACGGATAAAGATGATGAGGGATTGCGCATACTCGCGGACCTGCATGGCGGTGACCTCGACAATGTTGTGGCCCGGGCGGAGTATCAGGAAATCAAGGATAAAGTCATTATGGAGGTACGCATTAGCATGCTAAACAACCTGCCTCTTATTTGAGCACTGCCAGAGAGAATCCGGTGAGGCCAGGACGTATGCCGTGATGTGGAAAAAGTATAAACGGCGCGTGCTACTGGCCATGTCGTCGCAAGCCTTCGCTCAACTCAATGGCATTAATGGTGCGTTGCGTGGTGTTCAATTTTCCTCGATTGATACTCACTAGGCTGCAGTTATATCCTACTATGCTCGTGAGTAGGTCTTATCTGCACAATGCAGCCCGGATGCTTATCTATCCCATCCACTCGCAGCTAAAGTATTCGAAGGCAAGTAGTTTTTAGAGATATCGCCGCAGATCGTATTCTCACCATAAACGCATCACAGAGGCTGGTTGGCTAGGCCGGCAAGCTATACTTATGACAGGAATTAATTCCTTAATATATCTCCTTAGTACATTACCACCGTGCGTTCCTTCCCCCACCTTCCCCTACTTTGCCTAACTCATCATTTTAGATGGTACCTAGTCGATCGATGGGGCCGTCGACCGATATTGCTATCCGGTGCCGTTGTGGTGAATTTCCTTCAATACTGTCTCCAAGATTTATGACTCACCACCAAGTCTGTAGATGAGTCTAGCACTTTGCGCCACTGGGTACTGGATATATCTTGACTTACCGGAAACGCCCAATGCTGTGGTGGCCTGCGTCATAATCTTTAATGCTGCTTTTGGATTCAGGTTGGTCTTTACTTCCAGTCACCCTTTTCTTTCGCTGAATGGCTTCACAGTTGGGGTCCACTACCTTGGTTGTACCCTCCAGAGGTAATGCACTCCCTGATTTCTATAGCTCGGCTGTTAATTTTCCTAGATAATGCCTCTCACTGTGCGTGCAAAAGGCGTGTCGTTGTCCACAGCGACCAATTGGGCGTTCAACACTCTCGTCGGTGAAATAACGCCTTACCTGCAAGAGGTCATAGAATGGCGCCTCTACTTCATGCATGGGTTTTTCTGTGCTTGCAGTTTCGTTTTGGGTATGTCGTCCCTTCCGTCTGGCCCCTGCTTTAACTAACGACCTTTTGCAAGTTTATTTCCGTAGGTCGCTCTTCTCATCCCCTCCTATTTCAACGTTAAATTTCTCTCCTTAGTATACCCTGAAACGAAAGGCATTCCTCTTGAAGAGATGGATGCTGTATTTGGCGAAGATGAGAATACCGGTTACAAGACGGTTCCACTGTCCTCTACTGATGAACATGCAGTCGTTCTTACCTGGACCATCGTACTCGCCAAAACCAAAACACGCAAAGGGGACGTCGAGTGGATGGGTTTCGAAGATGTTCAACAGGAATGGGAGCAGGAAGAACTGATGGTGCAAGCGAGGAAGAAGAGGCGTTGAGACCAGAGGAGGAGGACGCTGATTTTGAGATGTTGGAGAGAGAAGGAACAGGACGATAGTATGAGCGGTTAGACGTTTTGTATATTTATCAAGCATATACCAGTTGTAATAGTACTCCCACAATAGTTTACATTGACGTGCTATCAATTGGCCGACGGTGAACCTGCCCTCATGTGCCCTAATACGGCTCAATTAGCCGCCTGTCTCACGTAGGTATTAGTAACCCTCCATCAATCCTCCATAGCACGAAGCTTAAGTAGTTGGTGAGATTTGTTCACATGATTCAGCTATTCAACGATGATGATGCTGCTCAGACCGCTTTGCATATAGACTTCGAAGAGATGATTACCGCGTATACTTTTAACGGCTCTGACACAACCGCCGATGTCGTCCTAGTATCACGCAACAACACACGCTTCCACGCGCACAAATTCATCCTATCACTTGCATCGCCTGTCTTCAAGGACATGTTCCTGATAGCTCAGCCACCGGCCGATGGATTCATTCCTACAATTCCAATGGACGAAGATGGTCAGACCATCGAGAAAATTCTTCGTTTTTGCTACCCCACTAAGGATCCGTCATTCAAGGATATATCTGAGATGTACCATGTGTTGGTAACCATGGCTCGGAAATATCTCATGGAGAACGTAGCCCTCAGAACTCGAAGCGAACTGCATCGGTTCTGTGAGTCAGGGACAACGCCCTTACAGGTTTTTGCGATCGCCTACGCGATGGGATGGAAGCAGGAGGCCGCTGTGGCTGCAGAGAAGGTAATTGAAAGACGTCTATTGACCCTGGAAGATGACGATATCCCGGAGCTCGACATCCTTGAGTCACCACGTATCATATACCGTCTTTTGAGGTTCCACAAACAACGGACGGATGATGCTTACAAGTTGGCTACATTGACGGGATCAAGTTGACTTCTTATTCAAGAACAATATCTTTTGCGAGCATCATGACATTTGCGAAGATGATGGGTATGGTCATGCCTATTTCGACACTGTTCCGCAAAAATCATGGCTGCTGTACTACATGGAAGAGGTTCGAGATGTGATCCTTCTCAATCCGACTACGGCGGACCTTCACGACGGTCATGAGTGGGCGATGCGGCATGCTCGGAGTATCGCAGAGGCGTGCTCTGAGTGCACGAAGTGCGATCTTCCCGCCCTTTTTGACCGGTATCTCCCTCAAACATATTTGAAACTCATCGGCGAGGTTCTAGATAGGGTAGGTGTCTACCGCACCTCGTAGTCCTAAGACGTTTAATGATCTATCTAAAAAGAAATTCTGTCTGTAGCGCGTGTCACGCTACTTACGCTGCGTGGTGATGTGCCAGATAGAGGTTGGTATACCTGTATAATAATCTGTGTATTAGTACTCCTAAAATTTGTCGATTGAAGTACAACTATGTACGTTTCATTGTTTAAATTTATGCTGCACACTACGCGGTGGAACCTGCCCTCAAGTGATCTGGGCCTTTGTTAAAAGTTTCGCTCAAGTTCAAGTTTCCTACTAGTAATCACTATCAAATATCGACCTGCTCGTTTTGTCGACTGTCCAGAGCTCATTAAAGGAGTGTCGCACGTTGCGGTAGGTCAAATAGTCCATTTATATCTTCATCAATAACATCCATCTCATCAGTGCACGCCAAATGGTATCGACTGTTTGCATTGCCTACATCTTCGCAGCTCCAGCAAATATTCTGGAAATGGACAGTCTGATATTCATTCAATGGAGCGCATAGATACAGGGCTCTGTTATCGCACGATATAAAGATGACATCGGCTGTGGTATCTGATTGCAGTCGCGTTTCTTAGAAGACATGTTCGCATTAGGCCAGACGCCTACAGATGGAACCTTCACCTACGGTCCCAATGGCTGAAGACGGTGAAACTATAGGTTAAATTCTTCGCTTCTCCTACCTGGTCAAAGACCTATTGTTCGGGGAAATATCCGCGTTATACCGTATCAAGGTGGTTATGGCGAGAAAGTACCTCATGGAAAATCTTGTTATCAGAGTCAGAATTGAGCTATGCAAATTATCCGGTGCTGAACCCTTGTGCGTCTTTCCCATTGCGTACGCTATGTAGAGGAAAGAAGTCATGGCGCCTGCAGACATGATCATTGAAAGACCCTCTTCGGCAAAGGATGACGATGATATCCCGGAGTTTGACCTCTTGGAATCT